GTGTGGCAGAAATGACCATTTTCATGATATAACGTACCATAGTCTTGGTACAGCTGACCATTTTCATGGTACACAGTACCATAGCCGTGGTACCAATCACCATTTTCGTGATACAACGTACCATAGTCGTGGTACATATCACCATTCTTGTGGTACAAAGTACCATAGTCATGGTACAAGTGACCATTGTTATGGTACAAAGATCCATACTTGTGGTACAAATCACCATTTTTGTGGTAGAACGTACCAAAGTGGTGGTACAATGTACCATAGTCTTGGTACAACTGATCATATGGATGGTACAAAGTACCATAGTCGTGTTACAAGTGAACATTTTCATGGTACAGAGTACCATAGTCGTGGTAGAAATTACAGGTTTTCATGGTACAAAGTCCCATAGTCCAAGTATAAATGACCACTTTTCATGGTACAAGGTACCATATTCATGGTACAAATGACGGTTCTAATGGGACAAATGGCGACAGCTTTGATACAAATGATCATAGTGATCGTACAAATGACCACAGCCTTGGTACAAGTGGCCAAAATCGTGGTACAAATGACTGAATTGATGCGTGAGATGACCATATTAATGGTACGAATAGCTCTCCAAATGACGCAAATGACCATTGCCGCAGTACGAATGATGACGTCCATAGTATGATTAACCATAGTCGTCATTATGTGGACCATTATTTTGGTCACTAGAACTACTTTCTTGGTGATTTACACCATGGTATCGTGTATTCGTGCCATCTCTATGGTCGCTGACCATAGAGGTGGTACGAGGGAGTTAATGCTAAAGATGGTCGATAATTCGGTCGAAACTAGGATAAATATGAAAGAAACAACCGTAACTATGTCCTGCATCACGAAAGATATAATCAAAAATTTCTTAAAGACATTCTGAATGATCACAAATACGACACACTTGACCGTTGGTTTATCAAAGATATGACTCAAAAGCGCAAAAATGTGCTCAAAATGGTCACAATAATGGTCCTCG